TCTTGGGATTTGGGTATTTGAAAAAATGATCTTAGACTGTTTCACTCTGTCATAAATAAAATTTGAGATATAATTTAAGTGCTGCTGTACTGAAAAAGTGTTGAGACAAATTTATTTATGTAAAACAAAGTAAAAACAAAACAAGAGTACACTCTGTGGCAGGGATTATAAAAAGACAAAATAGAGCCTGGTGCTGGTGTCTCACGCCTATAATCCTAGCTACTCAGGAGGCAGAGATCAGGAGGATCACAGTTCAAAGCCAGCCTGGACAAGTAGTTTGAGAGACCCTATCTCGAAAAAAACCCATCACAAAAAAGGGACTGGTGGAGTGACTCAAGGTATAGGCCCCTGAGTTTAAGCCCTACTACTGTAAAATAAATAAATAAAAAATAAAAAGACAAAAACAAACAAAACAAAACAAAAACCCCACTATGCTTGAGGTTTTGAGACTTCCACGAAGTCTACAAAATAAAAATGGTTATTCCTAAAAAAAAAAAAAAAAATCTGGGTTGTGTGTGTCACTAGCTCTCAAACACTGGGCTATGCATCATCAACTCCTCCCACATGACGGATGGAAGAAATGTTTTGGCCTTGAATGGTCAGACTCAGCCTGTTAGTTTTGAGGATGCAGGTCACAGGACCCTGCTGTATGTCAGGAGCCATCTGTTTATGTCAACAATCTGGGATGCGATCCCTTATCAATATCTGAGCCATAACTCTTGGCCATTAGGTTTCCTAACTCTGCACTTAGTCCCCATAAATATTTACTTTCTTCTCTTGATTTTTGCCAAGGCTTTGACTACTGAGAAAACTAAGTTACAGCTAAATAAAAATGTAAGAGTCTGTTTATGTCACGTCTTCTAGATAACCTCCTAATTGTGGTTAAACAACAGTTTTCTTGGGTGCTCTGTATGTGTCTGACTATTTGGGGTCACTGATGCTGCCTCCTGGCTGACAAAAAATCTAGGGTTTTTGGATTTCGTCAGTATTATACACCTATTATCTTACCATCAAAGGATTGAAGGTTTTACTCCAAGAGTAACAACTAAGTTAATTCTTCTAAAGTACAAAACTTAAAAAAAATGTTGCACCAAGCTGGTGTCCTCCAAATTGAAGCTTCTTTTTTTGGGTGGCACTGGGGCTTGAACTCAGGGGTTCACGCTTGCTAGGCAGGCACGCTACCACTTGAGCCACTCTACCAGCCCTCCAAATTAAAACTTAATGTTAGCCTTTTACAGGTTTTTAGACATGTGTTCCTAACTGTAACAAGAAAAATTAATGGTGTTGATGTAATGCTGTCAATAGTAATAACTATTATAAAATTCTGTATGTAAAATGACTAACCTGGCTGTATTTTGTCATTACAGTTCTGATCCTTTTGAAGCTTTTGCAATCAAATCCATAAAAAATGACTCTAACAAGTACTTATCTGTCAACCGAGTTAGCTTTTTAAATATCTACTTTTGCTGAGTTTTGTTTTGTATTGTCCTAAATCCTAAACCCATAACCTAAGAGCCACTCCTTCTAAGCCTCTTTGTTGCTTAAATTTGGCTAAAGGGTCCAGTTGGCACTGACTCCCACCTGACCTGCTCATTACTTGCTCCCCCACCCCATGTGGGATGGAATCAGAATATCCAGGGGAAAGCTAATCCTGGTGACAGGGACCAGAAAGGAAAAAAATCTTCAGAGAAGACTGCTTAAAGATAAACACTTTGGACACAAGGGGAAAAGCTGTCAAAATTCAAATGGAGTTACTTGTGCCAGACCTCCCAAAAAGTAACCAAAGCCGAGAGATTTAAAGAAGTGGTTCTTATGCATGTATGGCTATCTGGCATTAAAGCCCTTCCAGGTTCCTCTGACAGAAGACAAACTCACATTTTTGGGTAGGGCCCTCTACCTAAATACAGGAAAATTGGCTATTTCCACTGGCTCCAGATAGGTCCATTCAGTCTTATGGAGTTCTTTACTCCTTCTTGAATTCTAGTTTATAATGAAGTTTTTAGTTTCGAATTAAGAAAACAGTTTTTTCCTGGACTCATATAGACCCCTCATTTAGACTGTTGTGAGATAAGTGAGTTGTCTACTAATAAAGTATGAGTGCCGTGGTATCCTACTCATTACAAGAGAATTCACAGGGTCAGACGTTTGGGAAATGTGCTATAGCCCCCATTTCCTGCTACAGGTACATCAACACCTCTGGACAGGTGCATTGCCACACTAAAGTGATCCTTCATTGATTTTTGGCTCATGCATCCTTAATTTGCTTGTTAAGTTTGTTTCTTCAAGGTTGGAAACAATCAAGCTCCAGATGGTGATGGAGCAAAGCCACACATGCCGGAGACCGTGTCCTGGTACCATGAACCCCTGGACAGTCTTCTGTCATCACCTTAGAGGAAGCCCTGACTTACTATCCAGGGACCCCACATTGCCCCTCATCAGGTCAAAGCAGTTACAGGAGAATGTTGCCGTTCCCTGACAGAAGTCAGCATTACCTCTGCAGAGGGGGAGTGTAAGGGCAGCAATGGCAGAGGTGACTCCATTTTGGATAAGAGTGGCATTTAAAAGCAGACATCTAAAGAGGCATGGGAAACAACAGGCTTCTTAGATAAATAACAAACCCCTTACCAACATAACAAAATGCAGCTGCACAATGTGGCCAGGACGAGTTGGGCAGACTTTCAAGTCCACGATGAACTAACCAGACCTTCCTGGAATGCTCTGTTCAATAAAGAGAGGGACAGACAGGCTGCCGAGATCAGTGAGAGGATGACTGGGCACCCATCAATCACAAATGCAGTTTCAAGGTACAGTAGTTGGACCTAAGCCAGGCAGAGCCCTATATTATTCCCTAGACTTCAGCTATTCTATAGCTTAGTTCTTTTCACTAAGTCCCATCCACAGGGTGCCTTGATATCCTTTCAATAAACTTTGTACTTGCATTACTCTTAACTCCTTGTCCAGTATCTTCAGTCATCAGCTTCACCAGGAGACGAACTTGGGATCAACGATCCAGTATCAGTATCAGTAGTGGGGTTTGAACTCAGGGCCTCACACTTGCTAGGCAGGTGATCTACCACTTGAATCACTCCACCAGTCCTCTATATGACATCTTTCTAGCTGTGATACTAATAGTTGCTTGCTTCTTTACATTTAAATGTATTTATGTTCTCCAAGTATAGAAGCTTAGGAGAATACTTCACCAAGCTGGTGTCCTCCAAACCAGGATTGTTAGTGGTGTCAGCCTCTTGCAGGCTTGGGTGCAATTAGGAAATTGGATCATGACTGTAATGTTTAAGCAACAGCATTCAGACATGTCCAAACATGGCACTCAAAGCAATGCCATTCATATAAGGAAAAGGATTGGACATTGGTTACTGCAGATCCCATCTGCAAACAAGTACATTGTATCTGCTTTAAAGATTATTTACTCTTGAAATTAAATGGGGATTTATGTATCTTTAAGAAGATAAGAATTTGTTGGCACTATGATAATGCTGTCAATCATAATTATTATCCTAAAATGACGTACGCAATGGAAATAGTGAATTGCTAAACTGCTTTTCAAAATTCTAACCATGCTGTCCTAGATCTTTTGTCATCAGCAGTTCTCTAAAGCATTTATAATCAAAATCATGAAAGCAACTCCAGCAAGTACTAATTTGTTAAATGAATTAGTTTTTTTAAAAAAAAATTTGCCTTTGTTGGTTTTGGTTTATATTTTCCTTGTAAACTTTGTTTACTGTCTGTTAACATTCTGTGCAAGTACAATTTCTTCTTTTTTTGTATGGGACTTGGGATTTGAACTCAGGGCTTCATGCTTGCAAAGCAGGCTCTCTATTGCTTGAGCTACACCTCCAGTCCATTTTGTTCTGGTTATTTTGGAGATGGGGTCTTGCAAAATATTTTCCTGACCTCAAACCAAGAACTTCCCAATCTCAGCCTCCCAAGTAGCTAGGATTACAGGTGTGAGCTGCAAGTACACTTTTTAACAAAGTCACCTACTCAAATTTTTGGGATGCTAGGGTCTATAGAGCAGACAGAATTAAGCTTAAAAATGGACCACGTAAGCTCAGTCTAAGAACCATTCCTTCTAAACCTTTTAGTTGCTTAAATTGAGCCAAAAGGGTTTCATTGGTGCTGACCCCCAGCTACTTGTCACTCCCACCCCAACCTCTATCAGATCATACCAACCAGAACTCATCCCGATGAGGGGCCAATAAAGCCATGTCACAAAGTGATTAATCAGTGATGTCATTAGAGAAAATTGCCTAGAGATAAGGAGGGAAATTGTCAGGATAAAAATGGAGTCACCCCAGGTGTGGTGACACCACCCTCTAATCTCAGTACTTTGGAGGCTGAAACAGGAGGATCATGAGTTTGAGGCCAGCCTGGACTGTGTAGCAAGTTCTGGGTAGACTGGATTACACAGTGAAACCCTCTCCCAAAACCAACAGCAGACATGGAGTCATTTTTGCCAACCCTTCCAAAAATAACTAAAACCTAGAGATTTTAGGCAAAAGGAAAATAGCTCTGAATTTACCTGGGAATGACTGGGTTCTGGAGGTTTGAGGTCCCTGGTGTTGGGGTAGTAGCTAAACCCCATTTATGGAGCAATGCAAGGATCTGATCGCAAACACTAGGAGTGGATGGGACACACACAAAGCCTCTCAAAAATTGTAAAGATTTGCTAGCATCTGTCCAGGCCCTTGGGATTCCAGAGTTACACAAGCCTTTCATTCGATATGGAACCAAAGGCAGGACATGGCATTAGATGTTCTTACTCAATATTAGGTGAAATCTCTCGGCCCTTGACTCAGTTTTCAAAACAGTGATACTGTCACATCCAAGGATTGCTTCTCAGATTCACATTCCAAGAATAAAATCCATTTCTCTTGAGTTCTTCCAACAAAACAGGAACAACCAGGTTCAGCAAAAACTGAAGAATCTTATTTCTGTGAGGAATTTGGAGTTGCTTTATTTTTTTTTTTTTTTTTTGGTTATTTAGATTAAAATATTTATTGTAAGCAGATTCCTTTTTCTGTATTAATAAGAAAAGATACAACTGGAAACATTCAGAGACTGGAAACTGTGGAACCTGTTCTCAAGTCCACCATCAAATACGGTATCACTAAAGGAAGACAAGTTACAACTTAAAATTAGGAGAACCTATACACGATTTATACGGGGGGAAAGAAAAAAACAACAGAAGTCCAAGTGAACCTTACTACTTCAGTCTTTAGTTAGGCACATAAAACTGTACTACTTAATATACTTTTCCATGAACTTTTTGTGAAACTCAGATCGCAGTGTGTCATTCACAAATCTTTTGTCTTTCTTCTGGTCATCCACACCTTTTGCACAGTTCTTGAAGACAACGTCATCATCCCACCTTCTTTTCACTTTGAAGTTGGCCTGAGGCTGGGCTGGGCCAGTGAGGTTAAGGAGCGGGTTTCCACTCAGGATGTTCTCCATACGGATCCTCTCTTCTTCTGCTTTTTGTTCCTGTTCCTTTCTGGCCTGCTCCTCAGCTCTTTCTTTTTTAATCTTTTCCAATTCTGCAAGAAGAGCTGCAGTGTCATCATCATCACTCTCTTCTTCAAAATCTTCATCTTCTTCGTCTGTTAGAGGATCATCTGCATCAAGGTTGGCAGCAGGAATCTGGTCTAACCGAGGCTTCTTTGACACCGAAGAGGAAGTTGTATGTTCTCGAGTTGGACGATCCCTATTTTTTTCTCGTGCAGCAGCTCTCTCTCTCTCTTCCAATTCTCTCCTGAAGTCACGGTTACGAACCTCTTCAGGGGCATCCTGAGTAGTTTGTCTGTATTTTATCTTTGTGTGAGAGGGAAGGTCTCTGCTTGAATACTGCTTTGAGAGTTGGCTCAAGTCACCTTCTCCTTTTCCTCTCCCACCTCTTGCAGGTTCAAAAGTTGGCCTTGCTGCTGTTGTCATCTTTTATTTTCAGCTGAGGTCCGACGCAGCAGCAGCCTCGGAGGATCTCACACACACACCATCCCGATCCCGGTTCCCAGAAGCCTCTGCCTGGAGTTGCTTTAAAACAACAGTCATCTCCCTGAAGTTAAGAGGCATTCAGTACTCAACAGAATCTTTGTCCACAGAGGATGTCTGTCACCTGACCATTACCATCTGGAGGAGACAATGAACTACTTGGTTTCAGCAAATCCGAGAGCATCACAAGTCGGTCTGTTTTTTCAGATTTCCTGGGGGCCACTTTGATTGGCTTTTAAGTTTATTTTCCCTGATTATTTCAGATCTATTCTACAGTGTCTCTCATTTTAGTGCGACTCTCACATTGATCAATATGCCCACTCTTTCACTTAACACTCTGTTACAAACCATACCTATGCAAAACCACTCTGAGGGCCTTAAAACCCACCAGGATGGTGGGCAAAGATGGGTGCGTGCCTTCCATCAGGAGAATCCCTAACACCTGTAGCAGGAAGTAGCAGACAACCACGATACCCCTTTCCCATAGAAATGGAAAGCAAAATTTAGGCGGTGGGGGGGGGCAGAATGTAACAGAAAAAGACACCTACAAAAGGCTCACAGCTGTAATTTTATCCTGCAACTAAGTCATGTCACTAGCCAGCCTGCTTTGCTCAATGACTTAGGAGTAACTTGTCACCTTTGTTCTCTTCCTTCCCCCATGCTGGGAAGCTCAAGCTTAGCACTCTTTTAGCTTTCTTTCACCTTTGGACACAGCATGCTCCCCTTGGAGCCACTCAGCTCCAGACACAGGAAGCTGTAGCTTCAGAAAATGGTGCCAAGAAGCCAGGAAGTAAGTAGACATTGAACCCCCAAACTCCTGGGCTTTCCCTTAAGAACTGTCACCCCCCCTGGGATGGTACTACAGTTCTTTGTCATGCTAAGTCCTCTGTAGTCAGTTATTTGCCTGACAAATTAATAATCTTTCATGTCCTTTTACCTAAATCTCCTGCTCCTGTTATTTGTGCATTGCCATCTAAATGAGGGCTGACTTTTCAGTAACACTCTGGCTCCATCAATCCTTCCTCTTGACTGTAGGCTATACTTTTCTGCTTCTTTGCATATTGATTTTGGGGTGTATTCTACACATGTAGAAACTGGGGATTCTGTTATCTTCCTCCTAAGATTATTAACTTGTTTGGTTTTGCCATTAACCTGACTGAACTCAGACTGTAAACACTGTGGTGGGCAGGTAAAATCTCTGCTTGGCTACTTGGATGGCTTGGACTGTCCTGGATCTGTGCGGCCCCAGGACCAGCGGATGTTGGAGCAGGTTTTGTCATGCAGTGTTTGGGGAGCCCTCCATGTGGCTCTCTACTTTCTGGGTTTACCATTCACTTCTCAGCTACTGTAGTCACCCCAAACTCTGTCCTTTGGGTCTCTAGGTCAGTTATCCTACAGTCACCCTGCAGAGCCCTATGGGATGGTTTGTTTACTCTCTAATGCCATCCAGAAGTTGGTTTTGTGTTCCATGTAGCATTTGTAGCTGTTAGTCTAATTGGAGCCATTGCTGGGAGTAAAAACCTCAGTCAATTAGACAGGTGCACCGGTCGGGTCTGTGATTAGGCCTGGGGGCAGGACTGGATGTAGTTCAGGGAGACTTGGCTTCCTTTGGCCTGTCCAATTCTGGGGGATTTGTCTTTTGAGATTTCGGCCAGGGATGAGGCAGCTAGGATTCCACAGGGCTGAGGCTGTAGGAAATGCAGCTAGACTTGCAAGTATTCTGTTTCCCTGGGCTTCACCCTCCTGCTGCGTGCTGTGTCAGTTAACAAATGTCTAGGGCTGGGGGTAGGGGGTCAACTCTGTGTTTAAGGCCCCTAAAGGCTCAACTTTGCCTCTTTCACCCCGTAACTGTGGAAAGTATTGCTCAACATCTTTTCCCCCAAAGCTTCATCACCTCATCTGCACCAAGCCCAGTACCCCACTGGGAAAATGTCCTGGAGGCAAAAGACTCTGTGGGTCACCACTCACAGGACAGTTCTCCACTCACTGGGCTCAGTCCTAGAGCCACAGTGGCCTCTGCAGTAGGAAGTGCTGGGCTCCAATGGCTGTTCTGGGGGAGCTTGCTGTGGGATCCACCTTTTCCTGGAGGCAGAAGCCCAGTATTTATTCCGTACTGTGAGGTTTATTCTGTTTGCATTTGGGTCACACCCAGTATAACCTTATTTCTGAATTAGAGTGGAAATGCTCCTGCAGCTGGGTGTCTGCCAGCCTCTGCAGTTGTTAATGTGACACCAGAAAGCCGTTGGAACCACCGCTTCCCAGAAGGCATTTAACTAAGGAAAAAAATTGAAAACTCTTTAAGATGTGTTTTGCCCCTGCAGCAGCAGCCCTGAGACTTCATTTCAAGGCAATCATTTAGAAGGTGCTGGAAATTCAAGCTGCTCAGATATCTACAACCGTGGAAAGATCGAATTTCCAACAGTAGATGGTTTGTTGAAAAAAAGAATTGGGGACTCGGGGTATGGCTCAAGTGGACCTAGCAAGCTCATTGTCCTGAGTTCAAACCCCAGTGCCGCCAAAATAATTTGGTTTACGCATACAGTCTAATGTCATGTAGCTATTAAAAATATTGTGGCAGAGCTCATGGAAATACAATCATGTTTTGGTTTTGATAGAAATAATGACATTTGGATGGACCCACAGCACAGCAGTTGCATTGTGAGATTACTTACAGCGCACAGCACAGACCAACAGAGGCCTCTGGAAGGACAAAATTCCCTGTGACCACAGTGGTGGATGTGGAGGTGCAGCTGATGGCTATTTAATATTTGTTTGGTTTGTCTATAGTTTCTGAATTTTAAAGGCAATGAGTATGCATTTTTGAGACTGTGCTTTTTGAGTTATGATTTTCACACAGCAAAGCGCATAGACCTCATGTATTAGATGAATCATGAGACCTGTGCAATTGTACTCAGAACAAGATGTGCGTTGTGTGTCTCTGCCTCCGTCTGCACAGCAATCAGGGAAAGTCCTTACAACTGGCTGTCCAGGTGGTTCTGATCACCAGCTGTGAGCAGTTGGGCACTGGGAAGACAGTAGACCCCCTGCTGCAGTGCCTTCTGTGGCCTGGGGAGGAAGGGCTCCTTAGTCAGAGAGCCCAGGTTGCTGCGTGGCTACCTCCTGCCCACCTGCCTATCTGAGGCTGCTGTTCCTCCAGTTCCTGTGTGTGGGAAAGCAGTCTTTTCTATTAAAGTGTGTGTTGCCATTTTAATTACCTGCCTTGTCTGTTGTTCCGGGTTCTTCCGGATTCTTGCTCAGCCCCTTTGCCAGTGAAAATTGCTCCCCCAAGTTAGCATAGCATTTCAGCCAATCAAGAAGATTGTGAACTTTTGATCTGGCCCAATCCAGGTCAAGAGGCAGGGCCAGTTGTGTCAGGAATATAAGGAGGGAGAGACTGTCTGCCCCTTTGTGCGTGCTGTGCCCATGAAGCAGAAGTGAATTTTGCCTTGCCAAGACAATTTTCCATTTCTGTGTCTTCAATTGTGACTCCAGTGGTCTTTGGGGGTCTTATTTCTAACACTGTGTCACCTCGGAGTCACCTGGCTTAGGGGACAAAAGGGCTTTGTACTAAGGACACAGTCTGCCCAGCAACCAGGGACAGGAGGGGAGAGTGGACCACATTCTAGGGGGTATGAGAGCCAGGACAAAAAGTCTTTCTTTCTGAGCTGTCAACTGAATGCTGGCCAGTTCTCAGGACCTTGCTAGGGCCACCGAAGGTGCTAGATGGCACCTGTAACCAGCCTCATGGGAGGTTGTGACTGGGACAGAGAGTGGGTACATCCCTACTCTAGGCTGGAGAGAGCTTAGTCTGCGGCAGGTGGCAAGCTGGGACTCAGCCACCTTTGGCAGCTGGCTGGGACATTGGCCTTTGGAGACAGGACACACCAGGGTCTGCAGAGTGCCAGCAAAGCTGGTGGCAGTGTCCACAGGGGTGCTGGCACTCTCTGCTGTCTTCTTCTTCTCTCTCCTCCTCATGTACCCCTTAATCCAGCCTGTTCATTCTGGTCCTGCAGGATTCATGTGTCAGGCATTAACAGTCCTTTGCTGTGGAGGGGAGGTCCCAATCCTTGTCTGCAGCAGAACTTGTGAGCAACTGGAGAATCTAGGAGCAAACACATCTACCCAGAAAAAGGGTTAGTTACTTCCCTTATTGGAGTAAGAGAGCAAGATGCTCCAGTTACTGCAAGTTTGACTCATTAAAATTTTTCTTTTAGGCTAGCAAATGTCTTGGTCTTCGTAAGTGGGACAGAGTTTGCCCATGTGCCTGCTTCCCTGCCCATCTCCCTGTGTGAACTGGAACTTGGGCCCTAGAGGATTGCGTAGGCCTCACACGTGTGGATGGTACATATGTGCATGCATGTGTGTGTGCGTGTGCAGGCATGTGTGTGCCCATGTGTGCACACATCTGTGTGCTTGTACATGTGTTTGGAGGGCAGTGGTCCCAGCCCCCATGTTGGTGTTAGGCCTCCTTGGGGCCTCTTTGCTCTGTCATTCTTAACACAATCCTAACATGACACAAGATGGAGGCAATAACCTCATCCTCACTGCGAGGTGGGTCTCCCAGAGGACTGCCATTTAACCAAATATGGGTGCCCACATACCCCTTGCTCCTGCACAGGAAATCACCCAGGGCTCAGGCAGCAGGGCCAGTGTGGCTCCTCTGTTCCCCATCTTAGCTCCCAGGCCAGCCCTTTCTGGGTATAGGCAGAGGCCTGCTAGTAGTGGTAGTCAGGTCCCTGGGGCACATTCTGTCCTAAGCTTTCCCTGCACCAGGGACCCCAGTTCTTGCCAGGAAGAACAGCTGGAGCTCCCAAGGCTGAGGCACTGGACCAAGCATTTAAAATAGAATAAAGTACATGAGAGAGAGAAAGGTACCTAAGCAGGTAAGGGAAGATAGTATCAATAAGAAAAACCATGATGAGAAAAAGAGCCCATGGGAGGACCAGGTTTGGCAGA